GACTGTTCACATGGTAAAGGCAGGGTTAATTTTAATCTCTTCAGAAGATTTTTAATATCCATCTTGTGGCTAGTAGATCAAGATTGTAATCATTTTGGGGATTTAATTGACAATAAAAGAATCTAATGAAAACTCTAATAACTGATTTTGAAATAACTGAATACATTATGATTTGACGACTTATGTTTCCATCTCTCTGTCTCAATACGCATTATACTAAGGAAGGAAGTCACCATATATATCTTGAATACAATGTCAATATGTAACATTACTTGCTTTAGAACAGTCCATACTGTGCGTGCAACCTATTTATACCATTTTCTTTCCCTAAGCAGCTCCTGGTGAATTATCGTCAAATGGAGCAACTTTTGATGTTGAGATGAAGGATAGATCCTCCACCTTTCCCTGAGTTCTTCACCACATCCATGGACTAGCCGTGTTTTCGATTTATTTTTCAGCAGAAGAATGCTCGTTTCAACAAAACTACATATCTTGGTGTACTTTTATTTGAAGGTTGTAGCATTTTGGGAAATCTGAAATGCGATTGTTGGGTAAACTACATATCTTGGTTTATGTGTGTGTGTGTGTGTGTTTTCTGTGTGAGGGATTTGTATATTTCCCTGTTGTGTTGACATAAGTTTGAACATATCTCAGTTGACTAACTGTGGGTGATCCAGATACTCATAATAACTCTGAAGTCTGAAACCTTGTTTTAACTCCGCTGTTATGGTAATATTTTATCCTCTTGCAAGTGCTTGGAGGTGATCACTGTTTTAATATTTATTTTGCTGCTTGTTTAGGCTGAAACATATGCATGATAGGGAGTGAAAAAAGCTATTTCAGACTAATAACTCTTATCATTTACCATTTTTTCTCAACTTTTTTTTTTCCTTTTTATATGTTTATTACATTTTTTGAATTTTTTACATAGATACGGCATTTTAAATTTAACTATATATAAATCATCCATAAACAAATCATAAACTGAAAATTATTGCAATTTAGAAGTTAATAACAAAAATAAACAATAAACCAATCATTCATAAATCATGAAAATTTGTATAATTGTTACGGTTTTGCTATGGAGCCAACAGTTGGCTCCATAGTGGTGCCAACCTTCTATATACATCAAATAAACCTACCATATTCATAAAATTATATTCTTTGATTACCTAAATAACATTAATATAATTTTATGAATATGGTAGGTTTATTTGATGTATATAGAAGGTTGGCTCCATAGCAAAACCGATAACCGTTATTTAAAATAAACACTTCGTATAAATAGAAATTCTAAGGAATTTATAAGCCATTCTCATCATTTTCTCCTGTTTTTTCTTTTGGGAAACTGCAAATGCTATTGGACTAAAATTGCATTATTTCCATGATGAAGGGATGTCTGTTCTTAATTCTTATTTTTACCTTCAGAACTAATTAGAGGCTTTAAAATCCGAGGATAGTTTTTGGCATGCATGCAGAGCTTAGAATAGAAGGGTTAACTACATTTAATTTTCCACGATTTATCACTGTCATGCCTATATTTTCACGAGAAAANTATTTCCAAAAAAAAAAAAAAAAAAAAAAAAAAAAAAAATAAATAAATAAGCACATTACATGAAAATAAATATACCTGATTCATTTGAATTTCGGGCAGCTGGACATTGTTGTCAGAGTGACTGGTGGGAAGCTTGTCCTTGTCCATGTCCAGAGCTGTTATTTTTGAATCATATGCATCGAAATGGAACCAACAGTCGAAGGGTCTTTAGGAAACTCCCGACGAATGATATTCTGACACGTCGTTATCAAGCTGTAACTCGTGCTGTGGCTATTCGGATCACGAGTAGCTGGCACTGGCAGCACCAAATCATGTTGACTCTGATTATCAATCGAGCCAAGAGAAGGAAGGTCATAAAGAAGCCGATCATCACTAAATGAAATGCTGCTCGACGAAAAATAATAGTTGTTAGCTATAAAGGAAAAAAGAACACTTGTTATCATTATAATATTATTATTTTTTACTATACCTCCAATCAGTGTAACTAGCAAATGGATCATACACTGTTATCGGCATTGGCATTCCTTGAACCCATACTCGTCGATTATCATTCTCTTGATGATGATGACTGGCCATTGAAGAAGTTGGACAAGCTACAACACATTGTCGTTTTCCATCCTTAAGCATGTGTTGATTATCATAATTATTATTATAAGCAATGTTAAATGATGACACGCCTGACGATAATGATGCGTTGTTTGCTTGTTGTGGGCCCGCGGCCTCGCAGTTTGACCTTTTCAGGTGCATTCTGTATTTCTGCAAAACACCACCCAAATATATATACAATAGGTAAAAATAAACAAGAAATATAAATAGAGATTGTGTATTAAGCACTGAGATAAGAGATTTTGCCTGGAGATGGCTCGCAACATGTTCCCTCGAAATACCATCTACATTCATAAGCTCCATGATCCGTTTCGGCACAGCTTCTACCACATATATACATATATATATATATATATATATATATATCGACACGTCAAAATTTTATATACTCGGATAATAAATAAATAAATAAATAAATAAATAAAATAGTAATTTTACTGTCGACTCCTAGTTGATCAACGGCAACAACAAATTTGCGGTGAAGCTCTTGTGACCAGACGACACGTGGCTTCTTCTGCTTCGACAACACCTCACCACGGTTGTGCCTTTTATCATTATTTGGGTTCTCATTAAAACAAATATTATTATTGTTGGAAGCTTCTTTCATCTCCACATGAGATTCACCCACAACATGATTAACAATCGTATTATTATTATTATTATTATCAACATTCTTCTTCTTCCTCTAGCAGCTAGTTTCAGGAAACAACTGGCATCTAATTTCATTGATTCTTTCTCCCCATCTTGAATAGAAAAAGCAACTTTTTCCTCACCACATGCTGCCATATATTTTTCAGCTCCTCGACTCTCACGGGTTTTACCAGATAATCACACGCGCCATTCATTATTCTCTTTAATACCCGTTCTTTACTATCATCCCACGACACCACTACACAAACACAAACACCAAACAATAATCTAGTCAAGACTTTTAGTTTAATTAACAATAAGCCACATTTTTTGCTCTAATTCATGACAAACAAGAGAAAAGCTTAATTTAAAAACCTTACATACGACTGGGATGTCCATTCGGAGGCTCACTTCCTTGAGCAGAACAAATCCATCCATGTCGGGTAAGTCGACTTCACTTATTACTAAGTCAATTCGACTATTGTTATTGCGTAAAATTCGAAGTGCCGTGATTGCTCCATCTGCTGTATTCACTGCCAAAAGTTGCACATATATATATACTTAG